GGCAATAAGAACTGATAAGGCAAAGAGTCTCCAGGGAGAGTCCTGGGGGCACCGCTCTATACCAGAGCAGGCGCTCCTAGTTCCAGCCCCTATCCTGTGCCAACGAGCAGGACTCTTCTCTATCCCCTGCTTCCCCATCATTGATTTGACTCCAATTAGCGGGGCTGGAATGCCCAAGAGTATTGACTTGTCATATGTCAATGGACGACATTTTAGTCTGGCTGCTAGATTCTTTGAGTAGCATCAATTTCCAGTGATCGTTCCTGTGAATCTCTGCGATACATGGACCTTAAACACCACAGTAGTGCAGGGGTTCCTGTTCTATGTGGATCCATAATGGGGCATTATGAGCTATGTCTACATACCACTTAAGAGGAAGAATGTATTACAAAGCCTAATACAATCCTTCTTTGCTTGCAGGAAGGTATTATTTTTCCATGGATATCAGAGCTCCATGTTTAAACGTGAGGTCTAATTTTTTTTTTTAAGTAAAGAGCATGAACAGGAAGGGATGGGGCCAGAGGGACGGGGCCAGAGGGACACTGGCAGATCTTCCCCTTCGTTCTGAGCTCTTGATGCTGTAGGAAGCAAGGGGTCAGGATTTCTTTTGATCACGTGAGTCAGTAGCTGAGAGGACAAGCTTCCCTCTGCCCCCAAATTCAAAACAAAACTTAGATCCACAACCAGAACCGGGAAGAATTTCCAGGGCAGTGCAGTTTGTTTTAGATGATGGTGAGTAAATTGGGTTGAAATAGCAGGACCAGAGCATTCGAGAACATTTCAATGAATGTCCTACACCGGCAAGCCCTGCTTGCAAATAGTGTCCTTCACATCAGATCCGTGAGCCAAATCCTCAGCTGATACCAAGGGAGTGATGCTGCTGATTTACAACAGCAAAGGCTCTGGAACTTCACACCTGGGATAGGAAGAAACCCTGAACGCAGCTGTCACGGAGAGTTTCTGAAAATTACCCCCACCCCAGGTACGAGGGCTGTAGCAAGAACTCCTCCCGAGCCTCTGAGTGTGGAAAAAAGAACCTATTTTCTACGAAAGACCTGTAATTCTAGCCAGACTGAAACACAAGGCCCCCAAGAATCTCCACGTGCTTCTTGAAGAAAGAGGAACCAAAAGCAAACAAATAAGAACAAATTACTGGCAGAGCCCTGCAGAAACACCCTCCACCCACAGTAGCAATCTTGCTTCCTCCCATTGGAGATCTTGCCCAGTCATCTTTATCCATGACATTTAATGTGTGTATACACACCACACACACACACACACACACCTCAACTGAAATGTTCCTGCACCAAGGTACAGTCACTTGTGCTTCTCTCTCTGCAGCTGTTGACCTGCTGGTGAATCAGACGCCTGCCGTAATGAATGGATCGGAAGGAGAAAAGCTCACTGTAGAGTGTAGATTCAAGGTGGTGAAAGACTCCAGCACCACGTACAGTGTTACGTGGTATAAGAAGGAGGCTGATGGACATGAGAAAGAGCTGAAGAATGAAACAGGCATTGTCACAACAGCTCTAGATTCCTCAAAGGGCCTGGCCTCTCTCACCTTGATCAAAATCAATAGGAACGACTCCGGGCTTTACAGATGTGACTTTGGTAAAAATGGCGGTGGAAATGGAACCAGAGTGACCATCCATGGTAAATAGCAGCATTGTCCTCTCAGATCTTCACTGTATTTCCTAGGGAAGAATAAGGACTAGGAAAGGAAGAGCTGATGCTAATACTTTGCATGGGGTGATATTGATGGGACAGGAGTTGCCGTCAAACAGAAGGAGAAGGAAGAGCTATGGAGAGATTTGCAGTGTGAAGTCAGTGATTCCCGGTGGCTTTCCAGATCCTGCCCATTTTTTTTTTTGTCATCCAAGTACTTACAACTCTCCCCTTTTCCTGATGTCCCTCGCACAGCAGCACAGCATTGCTGCCCACCAGAATTCTCTGAGCCACTGGGTGAATCACAAAGGTTCGGAGAAACACCTACAGGTTCAGAAGCTCTTCTCGCCCATATTGAATAGTTAGTTTCACCATGACAGGCTCTCACGTAAGAAAATTTCCAGTATTTCCCAATTTTGAGTGGGATGGAAATGCCTCTCGGTATATTCCTGATTCTGCTTTCAGTCTTGGACAAAAACAAAAAGTGTCTAGAGGACAGCCCTAAAAACCCATTCACAGCAGTACCACTATTGTAAGCTGCAGTGTTTTGGACCATAACTGTAGAATACTGTTTTCTTTTAAAATGAGGGAAATCTTGTTGAACCTCAGCACAGGTTCCAGTTTGATTCTGGGTGAGGGTGTAAGCTACTCCTTACTTTATCCTAACTGATTAGCTGATTGCAAATACCATCTTCTGACAAATCAATCTACTGGGTTGGTGTCGGTTATCATTCTTCCAGTAGTGGTGGAGCAGTGACCCAGTTTGCCTTTTCTCCTTCGGCTGTTCTCCACGGGACTCCTTGGGTGGTGGTAGTCTAGTGACCTAGTTCACAGCGTCGTCCCCTGCCCCTATCCAGTAGGACTCCTGTAGAGGTGCTAATGCCTGACCCAACCTATGTTGTCTTTCCCTAGAACTAGTGGTGATGGGAGTGTAATAACTCAACTTGCCCTGCCTCTGTAGCCCCGTCTAGTAGGACAGCAGCTAATTAATGTTTCTTTCAACAGCACCTGACCAAAGGCCAATGAGCTCTTACATTGTTCCTGGA